ATAATTTTGGAACCTAAATGGTTTTGAAAAGAAGTAACTATCACTAGCGATTTGTTTGAATTTTTTAAAATATTTTTTTTTATGTGCTAAAAGTTGTTATATATTTAGATAAAATTCCTAATATTCATAGTTAAACTTAACATTTAATATTTAATCGAAATAACAAAATATTTATACATTATATTACTATTTTTTTTAATCTTACACAATTAAGGTACACACATATACAAACAAATTTTAAATTTTCCAGGCTTCCATCATTCTTTGTAAATCAATCGTTGATCGTGCAAGTGATAAGTTGTGTAATTAAACCTGTCCCCTTGACTTACATAATTAACCTCCTTGCAAAATTAACACTTATGAGTTATGACTAACTTCTTAATTATGATCACTGTTCGTCGTATTTAAGAATTTCACGGTGTTCAAATTCTAAATATGCTTCTTTGCCTGCAAAAGCTTTACGTTTATTTGTGTGGAACATTAGATGAGTTTATACAAGATTGAAAAAATACTAGATTTAAAGTGGTGGTAAAGTTTATTAGATATAATAAATTTTTATTAACGTAGCGAATAAATGATAAATGATGAACATTTTTTTTTGTTGGAAAAAGAGAGGATATATTTTTAGTTTCAATGATTTTTTTTTTTTGGTATCTGATCCTGATATTTTTTATAATTGAACGTGATTTCATATTTTTTTTTAAAAAAATACTTTATTATAATCACTTCTCATTATTTCATTAATTTTTTTATCTATCCAATTTTTTTTTTAAAAGAAAATCAATTGAAGGTGAATTTCATTTTTTAAGTTTAATAGTATTTTGTATATATACAAAATAAAATAAATTGTTTCTTTTCTCTTTAATAAAATTTTCAATTTTAAAAGATAATATTTTATTTTTATAATAAATTTAAACCTTTAATTTTAAACCTACGTGGCGTTTTAAAATAATAATTCTACGTGGCATAATCCTACACGTAACACTATACAAAATACTAATCCTACATGGCGCTCTAATAATTTTTTAAAAATTAAAATCCTACGTGGCTCTCTAAAATTTTGGGAAAAAAACTCCCCTTTATATATATCTCTAATTACCGATAAACAAAAATTATTTTAAAACAAATAGTATTTTCTACATATATATATATCTGCTTCAAAAATTTTTTAGACAGAGTATATTTTTTTCTTAGGAAGTAAACTTGATCAAGAGTGGCTCAACTTGGATTTTGCTTTGGTTTGGGCAGCAATATTAAGCCCAAATTCAAGAAAAAAAAAGGTTTGGTAAACGCAAAATAAACAATTTAGGGCTTATCTGGCATCTTTTTTTGTTTTCAGTTTTTTAAAAACCAAAAAAGGAAACAAGAAAAAACTGTTTCCAATTTTATGTTGTCAATTTTCAAAATTACCATGATCTTAATAAGGCCTCGATCACTTCACCTTATTTTTGCTGAATTGAAATTATTTTTACTGAACTGAAATTATTTTTACTGAACTTAAATTATTTTTACTGAACTAAAATTAATTTTACTGAACTGAAATTATGTTTGCTGAACTGAAATTATTTTTATTGATTTTCTATTATATTTCTTCTTTATAGTTACTGAATTTTATTGAACTGAACTTATTTTTACTAAACTAAAATTATTTTTACTGAGCTGAACTTATTTTTACTGAACTAAACTTATTTTTACTGAACTGAAATTATTTTTACTTAATGTTAGTTTTTTAAGGTGAAGTGAATAGGGTCTAAGTTTGACTAATTTTTGATACATTATATGACATACTTCCTCCGTTTCTTTTTAGTTAACATGCTTCTTTAGTCCCGTTTACCAATGCACAACTTCAACCATTAATATCTCTAATTACCGATAAACAAAAATTATAAAAAGTTGATATTTTAAAAATATATATCTTGATGAATCTAACAAGATCCCACATGATTATATTTTTCATTAGGTATAAAGCACAAAACACGGTCAAAGGGGAGTGAGTGAATAGTGCTAAAGTCAAAACGTGTCAACTAAAAAAAACAGAGGTAGTATATCATATTATTTTGAAAAACAAAAACCAAAAATCAGAAAACCACAATGATACCAAACGAACTCATAGTTAAAATTTTGGCCCAAAAAGCCCGTTATTATTGGTCCAAAATAGCGGATTTGATTACAAATTTTTAGCTGGTCTCTTGTTTTGAAATGAACATTTAGTATAAAAAATATGAACATTTTGTGATTGAACATAATTTAAAGGAAATTCGAATATTGAAACTACAAATGATTATCTACAAATTCAAAATGAACATTTCATTAAATAATAATGAACATTTTTTTAAATGGAAAAAAGGACCTCCAAATTAGAGAAAAATAAATATTTAAAAATTGAAATTAACATCGCAATAAATAAAAATGAATATTTTAATACAAGAGTAAAAAGAAAAGACACTTTGAAGCCTAAAAATAATTGTACATCAAATATCATTATATAATTGAACATTTCAATTGTAAGTAAAAAAGAACATCTAATGTTGTTGCTTCTTCATCAACATTTCTTGAAATTCAAGTATTACTTTTTCGACAATTTTTATTTATGTTGTTGAGCGGCTTCAATTGTTGTCGTCGCTTCTTGGTAGCCTTTTGTTCACCGGCTTTCTTTCTAGCCTTCATTTTTCATTGTTGCCTTTTGAACTAATTTAGAATTACTCAAGGCTTCGCATTATTCCGTATAAATTAGGCCTTAGAACTATTATGAATAATAGTAAAAAAAAGTATTTATTAACATATAATACAATAAATATGAAATTTTTTATTTAAAGAGAAAATAACATTTCATAGGAGACCGACTTTATTGAAAGTGAACATTAATTTACAAAGTACTTGAAAATGAACAAAAGATATTGTAATTTTTTAATGCACATACATATTTTCGATAGCAATAAAAAAATGAAAATGTTATCTTATGATTTTTATGAACGTATACTTATTTTGAACTGTCTTTTTTTCTTAGTTCCCTAATTTTTAAAATGATAATGATTTATATAATGTAATGAAAATGGGCATCCTCTAACATTAAAATGAATAAATGATCTTCTCAAAACTTTATGAGAATGAACCAATTTTTAACTAATTTTCATCATTTTGAACAAAAATGAACATCATTATTTTACCAAATGAACAAAAATACACATCAACTGTAAATTTAGAACATTTAACCAACAATTCGTAGGGTTTCGTAGTGACCCACACTACGCGGAATGAAACCCGCCAAGACCCACCCCCATAATAAATGTAATTAACAAGCAAAACATAATTAAAAGCATAATAAAGGATAAAAGATTATACCTTTGATTCGTGCTTCGCTCAACTATGAGCTCTTACTTGAACCTCGAAAACACGAGGCCTGCGACGGGATCGTACCCTCGAACCCGACCCGAGCGCCCTAAGCCTCGAAGGTTAGTCGAGACCCGGACAAATATAAACTTGGAGTTTTACGAATTTCAAGGTATGCTCAACAATGGAGTTGCCTTTACTTTTCCACTCAAGTGTATTCTTTCCCAAATACCCAAACTTTGGTATTTATAGGGAAATGAAACCTTGATCTTCATTCCCCAACCAATGTGGGAGAATGAGTAATTTTGACAATTAATTTAATTCCAAATTAAATTAATAATCAAATCAATCACAATGCAACAAGTGTCAAGGGGAGAGAGAGAGTTAGGTGAGGACCATGAACCTTGGGGGGGACCATTGCCTTGCTCCCCAAGGCATGCTCCAAGCCTTTGGTCCCCACTCCCTCAAACCGCCTCAAGCAATAGCTGTGCTGGCAGCTTGCTTTGCTGGCCAGCTAGCACAGTCAGCCTAGCATACCCAATTGGCACGCATCACCCAGCCAGCACTTGCGTGCTGCTAGCGAGCCACGCCTTGTGCTGGGCGCTGCCTGGCTATCGCACACACACACACATGCACACGCACAGCCAAGCTAGCTGTTGCGTAGTGCTGCTGCCTAGCTCTTCCTCGCACACACTCGCATAGCCAAGCCCTGCCAATGCGCGCACCCATGCGAGGCCGAGCATGCGTGATGCTAGCGAGCCACGCATGCTGGATGGCTTGATGCTTGGCGATGGTGCTAGGCTAAGTGCTGCGATGGAGCGACAGGCCTAGGCACAAGCACACGCACACACACGCAAGTGCCTAGCACTGCGATGGGCTGTGCTTGGTGTGTATGGCCTGCGATGGCGCGTAGGCACCCAGGCACGCACGCTGTTGTGCCATGCGAAGGCACGCACACACGCAGGTGGTGCTGCGATGGGCAGCCTAGTGCGCCTAGCACACCATGGTGCGCCTAGGCTTGCGATGAGCTAGCCCAGCCTAGCTACGGCTATGCTCGAACTTGTTGCTTGTGATTTTGCGACGCTCAGCCTCGACGCCCTAGGCTCGATATCCGACGTCTATTTTCGTAAAACTCCAACGACTCATTAAATCCTTTGGATTAATTTGTCGTTTCGGATCGGTTGTTCGATTGGGTTCGACCCGAAGGGTTCAGTTAAGATTAAGCTGTAATATTAATTATACCTTAATATTACTGATCGGAAGTGGCCTCCACCTAAGCATTCCGATCACTTGATCTTACTAAAGAATTAGCTCTGTAATAATTCTGAACCCTCTATCAGAATAATACCACTAGGCGAAAATACGCATTCCCCACCGGTTCAAACCCCCCATTTCGCACCGGTTTTGAACCGGTCTAGATTTGGGGGGGGGGGGTGCTAAAACCCCATAGATATCGCACCGGTTCAAAACCGGTGCGAAATCAGACTTTTGGCACCGGTGCCAAAAGTCCCCAAAAAAAATTTAAAAAAAAAAACTTTTAGCACCGGTTCTTTCCAAAACCGGTGCCAAAAATGCCCAAAAAAATAAAAAAAAAATATCTTTTTTTTTTGCATTTTTTTCACTTAAATTGATATATAAACACTAACATATATATATAATTACATATTTTCATTAAAAAAAGCCATAATATTAAAATTTTCAGCTAAAAAATAAAATAAAATTTTGTATATGAAATTACTCTTTAATTTGTTCAAAAATGCCTTCATGGTGATGGATGAGTTGCTGTGGGGTGCTGGGTGGGTTGCTAGCTGCTGTTTGATTTTCTTTTGTGGTGCTGCTGCTGTACTGTTGTTGCTGCTTTGGTTATGCTGCTGGTGCCTGGTTGTGTGCTGCTGCTGCCATTGCTGGTTTGTATTGCTGGCTGAATCAACATGCAGAAATCTGGAGGGCAGTGTGAGTTTGATGAGCCTAATAGTCAATTCAATTGTTAGAAATCATGCTCTTCAATGTATGGAGCCTATACAATCTGCCCAAAGTGCTCCGCTTGTTCATAAACTTCTGTCAGGTCATCATTGTACTTGGCAGAATGACGACGATCTTTAATTAGGGTTACCAATAACTCATGCAGCGAGACCCTATTAGGTGTGTATATATAGCAATACATGTCATCATTCACAAGGATAAAGGGTTGAGCAAAAACATAATACAACTCCAAATGAGAAACCACAAAATGCTATAATGAAACTTACGGTTTTCTGCGTGAAGCACAACCAGCATGTGCCTCAAATTGCGAAGCACTAACCTGAATAATATTTCATGTGAAAAAACAAGCTTCAAAGAAAATGACAATATTGAAGGTCAAATTAAAGGCAGACAACGCACCACCGTATCACATCAATTACAAAGAATTCCAGAACCCTTTTTGGAGCCCTCCAGTAATTTCTGCACAATTTATAAAATAAAAAATAAAAAAAAAAGTATATACCTATAAACTTAGAAAGATTGCAACAATATTCGGAAGTCTAAAACTGATCCCAATTTACACTAACCTGCCCTCTAGCATAATAGCCAAGCATAGTTCCATCAGGCAATACATCATCTTCAAAAACCAACTTATGCAGCCGAAGATCTCTGAACATAAAAGACAAATGAACAGCAAAAAAGTATAATCAGCGCATGAAAACAAAACATAAAATATCACAGTTGAGCTCATATAGATATAGCTGCTCGTGATTTAGAGAGATATGACAATTACTCATACATAACATCAAGCATGGCAGTTCTAACTGAGAGTCTGAGACCTACAACAATATAAATTAGCAAGAAAGAGGAGAGGGAACATACTTTCTTGTAATTTTCCCACTAGTCTTCTTCTCTGAAGATTTAAGAGCTGTGGGAGTTTTAGAAGGCTTGGGTGTCAGAACTTCTTCTCTTAACCTAAACAAACAAGATGAAAATATTTCGAGTAAAAAACAAATCAATCAAAATCCTGCAGGGATGATTTCACTTATCCTTGAAGGGAATTCAAACATGTACCTCGTTTTAACTTTTGCACAAGCATTTCCAGGTGAAGGCTTCGGAGACAAGGCTAGTTTAGATGACCTAATTTGACAAATTAGATGAGATCCATGCTATTAAGGGAAACAAATCAAATCACAAACCAAGACTTACTGTAATATGAGTTAATCACACCGATAAACAATTTTAAAGAATCAGATCCAAACAATTACTTCAAATTGATACAACAATCATATTCATAGACATCACAGCAAAATGTATGAATTTTTTAAAGATGCAAACTTGGAATAAAGCTGAATGTATGATCCATACCTTCTCTTCAATTTCTTGTGATCTTTAGTTCCTACAGATTTTCCCACCACGGGACTGATACAAGTCTTTGGAGACATAGATGAATCTTGTGCACTGAAATGATGAAAAATACAATGATTGATGTAATTTCTTTCATGTTTCAGAGAAACGCTTAATGCTATAATGAAAATCACTTTGTACCCAAGAATAAACCTAGTAGATAGCAGATTTTTTACCTTGCCATAGCTAACTAACCACACTTTTCCAACAATCAGAGAGATTCAATATTAGAAAGAAATAGCGATACTTATGCTGATTATAAAAACCTAGATTGAGGAACAAGAAAAGGGGCTAACAAAAAATCTGAGTAATGAACAAATTTATCAGCCCACTGAGATAGGCAAGAGTAAGCAACACTATATTCAGCTATGTAATGAACAAATTTATCAGCCCACTCAGATAGGCAAGAGTAAGCAACAAATTACCAGACGATAAATGAAGAACTTTTCATATCTTCAGCTATGTAATTACGCAAGCAATAGGAAGTTCAGCATGTTACATAAGAAATAGGCGGCACTATAAACTAGAATCTACAAAGGAACAGGGATTAAAAATTATAAAAAAAAATGTTTATCAATCTACAAGGAACTTAGCACAAAGACCTAGATTTAAGAATGATAACGTGAACAATTCAATGTTACTTTTGAGTTTCTTTCTTCTTTCTCCTTTCAAGTTAGGGGCATGAGAAGAGGCATATAAGGGTGTTTATAACCACCCCCCCCCCCCCCCCCCCACAAACAAAACAAAAAAAATAAAAAAGACAAAAAAGGGTAAGCAGTAACAATTATTAATGGGATATATATTTATATATTTAGAAAGAATTATTGAATCTAGCTCATAATAGTTAAGAATCAAAGAATTCCAAATGAATTAAAAAAACATTCTATAGAGTTTAGCATTCAACAACTGCAGCAGTGTCTCTTTATTCTGCATATATTCCACATAATTGCACAAGTATAGAACCAAGTAATATCCATATATGAATTCAAAGTAGCTGATACACAATAGACCATTATTTGTCTAATAGCCACTGCATCAATGTGCATCATTAGTTTAAATCATGCTGTCAACCACTTTGTCATTACAGCATCACTAATTTTGCATCACAAAAGTAGGAAACACTACACTCAAATTTCATCTCTACCACTAGAATCCTCCGACCTTCCAAACTCAACAAGATAAACCTTATAGGCTTAAAAGGTATATTAACAGGTATTCCTTATACGTCCCTATATAATAGGCCATATTAGATTGAAGGTCAATTTTAAGGAATTGGGTTGTATTACCATGGCGATCCTTCTTTTTGTAAGTTTTTAAATCATTACCATGCCACATACTTAGTTTTATCATATGGATAATTACTAAGTTTTTAAACTAAACCTATATAGTTTATTACAATCCAAGAGTAGAATGTGGTCTATAAGTTTTCAGAGTTGCTTCTAAATTTATTCTTCTTAAACCAATAGAACCCAGAAAATTAGAAGCTAATAAAAATAATATTGAAAATTGAAGAGAACGGTGAACTGATATATAAAGAGGTGTGACTATTCATAATCATGAGTTTCCAAGCAATTAAATTTACTTTCTAATGCAAGCAGAAGTATCATCATAATTTCAAACTATTTGTTCATTTAAGATTTTTAAAAGTAATTGAAATTTTGATCATTTGCCATTACTGCAGGCTACAATACCTTGCGAAACTGGATAATGAGAGTAGCTATCCCAGGATGCATATGCTCGTATATTTATCACTGCAAAAGATCATGTAATAGATTAACTCAAATGATTATATTTTTATATTGTATACGAAGTACTCTGTATAAAGTAAGGAAAAATAAAAGTCAGAGGGACCTTCTAGCCAGGGATTAACCAAACTTAAAGCTGAGCATGACTTTGTGTAACATTTAAAGCTTGTATAGATGTATGATATAGGGTATACTATTGCTTACGAAGGATGAATTACCATAAAAACGAGATATCGAAGGAAGAAATACCATGAAGGAAATCTAATCCATACAAGAATCAAGTACTAATTTATCTAAAGCTTTTCCTGATTAGAGATGGCAATAGCCATAGAGGGTATTTACTACTTACCGAGTTAGCAAAGATACTTTTAGAAGATATTAAAACGATACACTAGTCTTTAGTATATGCATTTCGGCTGTCAAAATTTGTTCAGAATAACTATATGCATGAAAAAATTTAGAAATCATGCAAATGCAGAAGGGGATTCTTCTTTTTCAGAAAAAAGGTCTAACTACCAAGAGCATTATTCACGTGAATATTGTTTTAACTTTTTAGCTCCAAATCAATTTTGATAGAAGAAAAAACAGAGCACATTGAAGTTTATGAAACCATATTAATGGTAATCAGGGCTTCAAGCCTTCAACACAGTGAGCTCATGTGCAATTTACCTTTGGAAAGCCTAACTATGGTTAATCTTTGTAGTGCTGCACAGGTAGCATTGAGAACCATCAAGTTCATAAACAAATGCGCAAACGAGAACCATCAAGTTCATAAACAACAGCAACAATCAAAACCCTAAAACAATTTACTATTGTTGAATGCACAACTCGAAATTAAAGTCACAACAGCAAACCACAAAGAACAGAAAACCCTAAATCAACGACTAACCCTAGATTGCGAAGGAATTCAATAGATTAGGAAGACCACGAAATAAATCTTACCTCGAAGCTGCTACAATGGAGTTGGAAAGCTCAGAATGCGCTTCAATGGAGGTGAAAAGCTCAGCAGAATGCGCTTCAATGGAGGAGAGGTATGGAGAGAAAGAGACGAGTTGCGGCAATGGAGGTGAGAAAGCCCAGAATGCGCTTCGATGGAGGACGTACAACTATGGGGAAGGTAGGCGACAACGAGGGGGGTGCGAATTGAATGTGGAAAAGCTAGAAGGGGAATGAAAACTGAATTGAAGGAAGAAGAAGATCGAATTTTACGATTAAGTGGTTTTTTTTGTTTAATTTACAGCACTGGTTCGAACCAGTTGTAAATGAATTTTCCCACCGGTTTGGGCTGAACCGGTGCGTTCCCTCTATCCCTCTTTTTTTTTTATTATTATTTTTTTTAATAAAACATTTAGCACCGGTTAAAACCGGTGCGAAAACCAAGATTTGGCACCGGTTTATAAGGAACCAGTGCGAAAAGTAATTATCCAAATCCCGCCCAATTTTTTTCCCACCGGTTTTTAAGAACCGGTGCGAAAAGGGGGGGTGCCTTTTTCATTTTTTCTACTAGTGTACACTTGTTGGAAGGACACCATTCCTTTCAATCTCCCACTTGTCCTTCCGGACAAGTGTGCATATAGTGTATAGCCCATTTCCTATGTCGCTTAATGTCTCTTCGTGAACTATAAGGTAAGATTCATCGTCATCCTTATTACGTTCAGAAGTGTTTCTCGATCTCCGAGTTCGACTGTCAATAAGCAGATGATTTCTAAAATCCATCTGAGCACGGACATGCATTTTCACAGTCTCGCTCTTCGAGCGGCCTTTTAAACAACAAAGACATTTTCCCTATTGTTGATAGGGGGACATTCCCAGTCTTGTACTGTAAGTTTCTCTTACTAAGAGGACCTAATCTCCCGAGTGTTCCCGTTATGATCCCCAGTTACGGCAGATGTTAGGCAACATCAAAGAGACCAGTTCTCAAACAAGAAAACTTCACAACACTCATGGTCGAGGAAACGAGTTCTGATAGCTATAATGAGAAATGTACTTATGACAATTTTGAATTTCTTAAAGTACTCTCATAGGTCGATCCAGTGTAGTTCCAAACTGGCACCTGTGCAAATGATTTATGACCATCATGTCCTTGCAGCACAAGAAACGGTGCTGTAAATCATACTACACACTAATCTCTGGTGGTCATCAATCGTCCATTAGTTAGATGACCTCGATTAGGAATAATTTTTGATTTAAATATTCAATGTTCACTTAACAGGTGTTTTTTTATTCAAGACATGGTCTTGATACCCTGTTTTGAATATTCCATAAATCGAATGGACTCATTATTTAATTCTAAACCACAATTAAATAGTAATGGAGTGAATGATAATTTTGCACAAAATTAATTACTCCATTAATGAATGGTTTCAATACAATGTCTTACATTAAAATAACCAGTTTAATTAAAACACATGTACAGGGAATTTCAAAGCCAGTCTCCGATGTGCTTGATTCCCATTGCCTCAATGTGCTTGTTGTGTTGCACTTGAGGTAGAGGTTTAGTCAAAGGATTGGCCACATTATCATCCGTGCCGATCTTGCAAATTCTGATTTCACCTTCGGATTTCCATTCCCTTATCATGTGAAATCACCTTTGGACATGTTTGACCTTCTGATGCTCTCTTGGCTCTCTAGCCTGAGCGATAGCTCCATTGTTATCACAGTAGAGATCTATCGGACCCTTGATGGAGGGTACAACACCAAGTTCACTGATGAACTTGCGAATCCAAACAGCCTCCTTAGCAGCTTCTGAAGCAGCCAAGTATTCGGCTTCAGTTGTAGAGTCTGCAGTTGTGCTCTGCTTGGCACTCTTTCAACTAAACGCTCCTCCATTCAGACAAAATATGTATCCTAACTGTGACTTGAAGTCGTCTTTGTCAGTCTGGAAGCTAGCATCGGTGTAACCTTCAACAACCAGGTCTTTATGGCCACCATAAACCAGGAATTTATCACTTGTTCCTTTTCAGGTACTTCAGGATATTCTTGGCCGTAGTCCAATGCGCCTTTCCTGGGTTTGATTGGTATCGGCTCGTAGCACTCAAGGCATACGATACATCTGGCCTAGTACATATCATGGCATACATGATCAACCCAATTAGCGAAGCATATGGAATCTGATCCATTCTCTCTCGCTCAGCAGGTGTCTGTGGACACTGTTTCTTGCTGAGAGTTACGCCATGGGACATGGGTAGATGCCCTCTCTTAGCATTTTCCATGTTGAATCGTGCCAGTACTTTATCAATGTAAGTACTATGGCTCAATCCAATCATCCTCTTAGATCTATCCCTGTAGATCTTGATGCCCAATATGTACAGTGCCTCTCCTAAGTCCTTCATTGAAAAGCAGTTTCCCAACCAGCCCTTTACGGACTCCAGTAATTTTGTGTTGTCTCCAATGAGCAGTATGTCATCGACATATAGGACTAGGAATGTGATGTCACTCCCACTGACCTTCTTGTATACACAAGATTCATCTAGATTCTTGATAAAACCAAACTTACTAATGGCTTCATCAAATCACATATTCCAACTTCTGCTGGCTTGCTTTAGTCCATAAATGGACTTCTTAAGCTTGCAAACCTTTCTAGCGTTGCTCGGATCGACAAAACCTTTCGGCTGTGTCATGTACACAGTTTCTTCCAAAATCCCATTTAGGAAGGCGATTTTGACATCCATCTGCCATATTTCATAATCGTAATATGCAGCAATCGCTAGAATAATCCGGACAGATTTTAGCATTGCAAACGGTGAAAAGGTTTCATCATAGTCAATCCCGTGGATTTGTCTATAACATTTTGCCACCAGTCTAGCCTTGTATATAGATACATTTCCATCCTTGTTTGTCTTCAATTTGAAGATCCATTTGCAACCAATGGGTGTGTAACCCTCAGGCAAATTCACCAAGTCCCAGACTTGATTTTCAGACATGGAGTCCATCTCGGATTTCATGGCCTCTTGCCATTTAGCAGAGTCGGGGCTCGTCATAGCTTGTTTGTATGTCGCTGGCTCATCTCCATCCATAACTAGGATGTCTTGATCATCAGTTAAGACAATACCAAGGTATCTGTCTGGTTGAGATCTTTGCCGTTGCGACCTACGAAGGGTAATAGGTTGAGCATTTACATTGTCTGTTTGATTCTGACCAATCTTCTCAGCTGCTTCCAAAGCACTTAGATTGTCAGTTTTATCAGGTTGACATTGTTGCTCGTCCTCTCAAACTTCGTCGAGTTCTATTTTCCTCCCACTTGTCATTTTGGAAAGGCGTTTCTTCTCCAAAAAGACACCATCACGAGCAACAAACACTTTGTTCTCGGATATATTGTAGAAGTAATACCCTTTGGTTTCTTTTGGATATCCCACAAAGAAACATTTATCCGATTTGGGGTGAAGTTTGTCCCAAATTAATTGCTTGACATATGCTTCGCATCCCCAAATCTTGAGAAAAGACAACCTAGGAGGTTACTTAGTCCATAATTCATATGGAGTCTTTTCAATAGCTTTTGACGGAGCTCGGTTCAGTGTTAGTGCCGCGGTTTGTAGCGCATGTCCCCAGAAAGAGATAGGAAGTTCACTAAGACCTACCATTGATCGAACCATGTCTAACAAGGTTCGATTCCTCCATTCGGATACTCCGTTCCATTGAGGAGTTCCGGAAGGTGTCAACTCTGAAAGAATACCATTTTCTTTCAAGTGATCGTCGAATTCATGGCTCAAATATTCGCCACCTCGATCCGATCAAAGTGCTTTAATTTTCTTGCCAAGTTGATTTTCAACTTCTTTCTGAAATTCTTTGAATTTCTCAAAGGATTCAGATTTATTCGACATTAAGAAGATATAGCCATATCTACTAAAATCGTCGGTGAAGGTGATGAAATATCGGTAACCTTGTCTTGCGGGTGTACTCATTGGTCCACATACATTCGTGTGTATTAGACCTAATAAGTCACCTGCCCTTTCTCCCAACTTGGAGAATGGCTGTTTTATCATCTTGCCTAATAGACATCCTTCGCAATTTTCAAACGAATCCAAGTCGAATGAGTCAAGAACACCTTCTTGTAGTAGTTTCTTGATGCGTTTGACGTTAATATGTCCAAGACGACAATGCCACAAGTAGGTTTGATTCGACTCGATGGTCTTAGCCTTTTTGGCAGTATCATTAATGTTATAGACTTGTTTGTCAAGAGAAAGCACATAAAGACCATTTTCTGAATATGCTTTACCATATAAAACATTATCGAAATAAAATGAACAACTATTGTTCTTAATTCGAAATTCAAAACCTTTGGCGTCCAACGCCGATATTGAAATAATGTTTTTGGTAACTCTAGGAACATGATAACAATTGTCAATTTCTAAAATAAGCTCAGAGGGCAATGACAAACTGAGAGTTCCAACGGAGACAACAGACATTCTTGCACCATTGCCGACCCGAAGCTCTACCTCTCCTTTCTCTAGCCTCCTATTTATCCTTAGTCCCTGAGCATTGGAACAAAGGTGTGAGCCACATCCGGTATCCAATACCCATGATGTTTTGCTAGCGAAGTTTAAGTGTATAACAAAAATACCTGATGAAGAAGCAACGGTGTCGTTCTTCTTATCTTCCTTGAATTTGAGGCAGTCCCATTTCCAATGTCCCTTCTTCTTGTAGTAGAAACATGCGGAATCGGATTTGGAAGAGGCTACCTTAATTCTTGTCCTTGCTGCCCTTGGCAGTGTTTGACTTAGGCGGAAAATTTCTTTTTTTCCCTTTAAAGCTCTTCTTCTTGCCTGGACGTTTGAATGGCTTGCCCTTCCTCACCATGAGCATTTCATGCTTGCCCTCATCCTTGAGGGTTTGCTCGGCTTGCTTCAACATACCATGAAGCTCGGTGAGGGTTTTCTCCATGCTATGCATATTATAGTTCATCTTGAACTGATCATAGCCTTTGTGAAGCGAGTGGAGAATGATGTCAATTGCCATCTCGGTTGAATACCCAGCATCAAGCCTTTAATTTCCATGTTCTCAAATAATCCAATCAATTTGAGGACATGCGGGCTGACTGACTCTCCTTTCTTGAGCTTGCTCTTAAGGATCTGCCTGTGGGTTTCGAACCTTTCAGTTCGGGCCTGCTCTTGAAACATATTCTGAAGCTCAAAAATGATCTCAAAAGTCGTCTCCTTTTCAAAGAAAGTCTTTTGAAGGTCCGGAGACATAGTGGCCAACATGATGCATTTGACATCCCGATTGGCACTTTGCCATCGGTTAAGGGCAGCCTGAGAGACCTCCTCATTGGGAGTGTCGAGCATTTCCTCATCAAGGACGTATTCCTTTTGCTCTTGCATTAGTACAATGCGCAGATTTCTTTGCCAATCAAGAAAGTTTGGCCCGCTCAACTTCTCCTTGTCGAGAATTGAGCGTAAAGAAAATTGGTTGTTGTTTGAGTTACTTGCAGACATTGTTCTA